CACTTACAGTGGCTCTGACTGCCCAGCCTGAATGAAAAGACATCACGTACATGAAGGGGAGGAAGGGAATTGTGCTTTAATAAGTAGAAGCTTCATATTTTAAATTCTCTGTTACATGATGATTTTTGATACCTCAGTAATTTATATGGCATATCCCTAAATAAATAATGTGACATTTTAGTCATAAACAAGGAGTTCTCGGAGTCCTGTTTATTAGGCAACTCACACATACTGGGGAGAAGAGGTTGGTGCTTCAGCTGTGCCTGAAAAAGCAGGGATTTCTCAAGTTCACAAGCCAGCACTGCGAGGAACATGTCACTAAGAGGTGTATCTCAGGAATAAGCCTGAGTTATTCTGGTAAGCCCAAGGGGACACAACCTGACATTAAGAATGAAGGAGAAAAACCAAAGCTGCTCTGGAGACTGAAATGGTTTTGCCCTTGGTCCAAACAGAGATAGATGCCCTCCTCTTTCTGGTCTATTTTACTCTTATTTTACTATCTCTCTCATCTGCCTCCAAGCCCAACCCCAGGACTGGGGCTGTATCCTGTCCGGGTCCCTCAAAGTCAGATCCTGCGAACTCATCCTCATAAGCCCAGGACTAAAGTCCCCTGCTCAGTGCTGGACCCACAAGAGTGGATCCACAGATAATTGTGTCTCATGGTTTGCCCTTCCAGATTTTTAGCATAATAAAACTAAATAACAAATACAGAGAGGTTCTCTAATGACTAAATTTATTTGGGAATAACATAGTAATGGGAATCTGCACATTATAGTAAACTATGAATACATTGAAGAACATTGAGGTGAGGGAAAGTTTTTAAAAATGGGATATATACAATCTTCTGAACAACAGTCATTAGCTACTAAGATTAGTAACAAGAGTGGTGTCATTCCAAGATTAAACAGACATCTTTATAGAAGTATGTTTTTTGTGTAAGGTTGTAGTTGGCTTTGTGCAAAGTTGTGGTTCTCCCAGTGTATTCTGTGAATAGTTCTTGTTACCAGGCATACATACATGAGATCAACTCGCCTCTTTTTTTGGGCGGGGTGGGGGGGCTGGCTAGGGCTTGACAACTTTCATAGCACCTATACAATAGAAAATGCTCTTGCTAATACAGAATGTCCCTTATAGCACAATTTTGAAGTTTTAGTATGCTAAGGCCAAAGATGATTAAAACTCACCACCAAAGAGACAAAGAGCACTGCATACTCTGTTCGGTCACAAATGTGAGGTCATAACTCCACTGTAGAGCAGTAATCTTTCAAACACAGGAGTCAAACAAGTTTATTTTTTTTTCAAACAAGTATTTATCTTTCTTCTAATAAGCTTAAACTGTATCATCTCTAAGAATATTTGTCCTTGGGTTGTCTGTAAACATCTAATTAAATAGTTACTACCTAGACAGGAACTTGAAAAGAAACAGGTTTAGCTGTACCCACCCTGAGCAGCTCTGCTCACTGTAACAAATATCAGCTTATACAGAAAGAGAAAGGGTTTACTTTGGCTCACAGTTTTGTAGGCTCCAGTCCATGATGGATTGGTTACATTGCTTTAGGGCAGCAGTGGGGAACCTTGCAGAGACTGAGCCCAAACTGCAACCCCTGTTTATTTATCACAAAATGTCAACTCTGCAATTAAATCTGAATACTGAGGTTTCATTTCAGAAAAAACAATTCATGCATTAACATCTTTTGTCTTAAAAGAAAAACACAGTAACACACAAGCCAGAGGTTCACCACCACTGCTTTAGGGCCTGTGGCAAGCTAGCATACCATGGAGGAAGTGTGGCAGAGCCAAAGCTCCCACCTCATGGCCAGGAAGTTAAAAAAGAGAGAGGAACAAGCTGGCATCCCTGTTTCCCCTTCAAGGGCATGCTCCCCAAAGCCTGAAGGCCTCCCACTAGGCCTGACTGCCTAAGATTCAGCTACCTCCCAATAACACCGAGCTGCAGACCAAGACTTTAATACATAGGCTTTCAGGAAACATTTCAGATCCAAACTATGGCAAGGGGCCAAGGCCACTGTAGACTCTCTTATCAAGCATGTCTGTGGCATTATTCTAGAATAAATAACCTGGACTTGAAGAATGCACTGCTGGGAAAACACTGATCAGAGTCTAGGGACGGATTTTAAGACAAGAACACTCTTTGGGTTGCTATTTGCCAAAAGATAGGGGAGGAACCACCCAGTACAGTGGAAGGAGAAGCAAGACTAGAATTTGAAGTACTAGAGAGAGGGCCACATAGAGGATTTCATGCCTTCATGTTGTTTCTTGGAAGATGGGGGAAATCATGTAAGTGTACTCTTTGAATGTTCTCCTTTCATAATTGAGAATTCTTTCCATTATCTTAACCCAAAATAAAATCTAATAATTCCAGATTTGAGGAATGATTGTGATGGTTGTAAGTGTTGATTTGTGGTTGATTGATTGTGTCAACTTCAGTAAGAGAAGCTCAACTAAATTGGCCAGCAATTCCACTCTCTAGGGTATAGAAAACCCCCCTAGGGGGCTCCTTGTCTGGATGGTATAAAGGGGAAATGTGGAAGGATGGATCTCCTCCCATTTCTTCAGAGGAGCTCCAGTCTTCATCTTCACATTGGACGTCATCTCCTGTCTTCCAGCGCAGACCCTTTAGCTTCTGGTGCAGATCCTCCAGCCTTCTGGTGTAGACTCTTCAGCCTTCTATCATAGACCCATCGGCTTCCTGATATTGACTCACACAGTACACTGCAGTGCTCTAGACCTTCAACCAAATCCTTCGGTCGCCAGTGTGCAGAGAGATCCTCTGCACCTGTCCACATCAGATTCTGTCAGTGGCCACTGTAAGCCAGTCTTGTAAATTCTTATATATTTATATAACTTGTGTCATATCTGTTTCTAGTAAATATGGACTGATACAACACTAGAGAGTAAAGCAACTGGGCTATAAGCCAAGTGTTGCCTGCCCTATATGTAGCCCTTTATGGAAGCCCACATAGTTCAAGCATCTATCTGGAGACTATGGAAGTTCTAGGATATGTCCACCAGCAAAGGAGCTGCCCTTCCCAGTGGACCTGGAAACAGTGAGGAGAAACAGAGTGCTAGCAAACTGATGCAAATGCCAAGCTCAAAAGCAGCCTGATCCAATCCTCCCTTTACACCCCTCTTGGAGGAGGGGCCCCAAGCAGGACAGCTGATGATGACTGTATGTCATGACTCAAGGCTAATTTGGTAAATTAGAGATTTCTTAAATCTGTTTTGTCTGGATTTTCAAAATCATTGGCATAGTTATAGAAATGACTATCAAATTGTTTTTATTCTCCATTGTTTTGCGGTTAGTTTCCATGTATCATTCCTAAATTCTCATAGAGTTCTTTTCTCTTATTTTAATTGATTTGGCTACCCAATAGTTTATTTTATTAATTTTGTTGTCTATTGAATTATACCTTTCCCCCTGTACACATGCACACACACAAGATCAAGCTTCTGAATTTATTTATCAAGACTACTCAGGATTCTAACAACAAAATGTTTGCCTCTTTGTCTTGTTTTTTCTAACCATTTTTTAGAAGTTTGCTTGAAAACTGATGAATAGGTAAATTATTTTTAATCATCCTTTTCTGAGTAATGAAAATGATTACAGCTGTGAGAGTCCCTTGAGCTTGCCTTGGCATTACATCACTGATTTGCTCTTAAAATTCCCATTATTATTGTCTTCAATGAATTCTTAGTTGCAGACTGGATTCCTCTACAGAGTCCACAAAAAAGAAATGTATCCAAACTTAGGCAGTTCACCACACTAAGAAACATCTGGAAGATGATGGCCACCACTCTGAGCACTTCTTGCAACTGTAGAGGCCAAAAGTAACTTGTATTCATCTCATGATATCTCAATAAATTTATTTATTTATTTGGAGGGAGTGTTGAGACAGGGTCTTGCTATATAGTCCAGGCTAGCCTTAAACTCACTTTGTAGCCTAGGTTGGCCTCAAACTCATGGCGATCCTCCTGCCTCAGCCCCCTGAGGGCTGGGGTTACAGTCATGCACCACCATGCCTGGCTTCTTTCTGATTTTCAGTGGAGTCCAAATGTAGCTACTGTGTAGAATTTCCTGTTACAGCTTCCTGTCTTCCCAGCCCTCTAGCTCCCTAGCTCCCAGGACCCTCTCACTCTTCTCTAACAGTATGATTGTCTTAGCAGTTGTCTTATGTGGCCACCCTGGGCTCTCCAGCCCTTCTCCTTGGCTCGTTCCCATGTGTGCAGCTCCTTCCCAGAGTCCTGGGCCAGGTCTCTCCCATTGAGCAAATGTCTTGGCTTGCGCTCCAGCACCGAGAGCCCATCCTCTGTGTTTTCCTGCCACTTTCTCCTCAGAGAATAGAGGAAGTAGCAGCAGCAGTAGCGACTAGGACTCTAACTCCTCCCACGTTAACAAATCTTACCACAGCTACTTAAAAGTCTCATTACTCGTCTCGTGGGTGTCAAACTTTAGAATGCACAGGGGCCGCATAAACTATCCAATTACCACAGTGACGGGCTCACTCAGATAAGGTGAATTACAGGATACAGCTCTCAGTGAGCTTGTCCCAATCCAGTTCCCTTTCCACTGTTTTATCCTGAACTTCTTGGGAATTTCCTAAACAGATCATTCAAATTAGTTCCTTTTCATTTTCCCTCCTAGTTTGACTGGGGCAATATTTTTTACAAGGTTGTGCCTGCTATCCCTGCCTTCTTCCCAGCTATCCACCTTTTTATCCCTCCTCATTGTTTTAAGTGGAGCAAATTCAGAGTGGACCTCTGTCTAGAATTCTGCAAAAAAAAAAAAAAAAAAAATCCAGGTATTTTAGGAGAGCAGAATCTCTTTCTACCACCAGGACTGGGAAGAGGCGACTAAAGTAAAAGAAAAATCCTTACACTGAAAACTCTCTGAGATGTATGAAAACCTGTACTGAGAACAAACATCTCTTCCAGGTATTACCACCAAAAAGGCATTTTTTCCCCCAAAGGAACTACAAGGTTTCGATCTAACCTAGAGGTGGGTCCTTGTCTGATCCTGGAAACGGATCTGAACTTGAAACTTTCCAAGCTTTCAGAGCAATCCAGTAGCAGGAGCAAGGGTGGCTGGGGTGCCCTGCAATGGGAGGAGCTCCAGGCCCAGCCCTGGAGGCCCCAGGGCTCAGGGGCCCACTCAGATTGTGCCAGAGAGCAAGAGAGGGGAACTGGGGTTTGTGAGCATTGTGGCTTCTGTTTCCTGTTTCAGCAAGGTTGCTGTGCAAAAGAAAGGCCGCACCAAGAAGGGAAACACTAAGGGGGCCCAAGCCATGGACTGAGAACTTGCATTTTACCCAGCTGCTGCAGTGCTCCACTGAGACCAGAGCCACGACCTGCCAGGACTGACTGGAGCTTTCTCCTGACCAGCCTGGGACCTGGAGGTAATTGAGAAGGATGTTTTTGTGTCCAGACTTAGGACCTCCAACTTGGAGTGGGGCAGAAGGTGCTCGGTCAGTTAAGCTTCCCTGGGTGAAGAGAGAGATACAGGGGTGGAGTGGTTTAAGAGTACCACAGTGGGAAGTAACCAAGAGAGGGCCCTATACTGAAGGCCTGAGGTACCACCCAGGCCCAGGGATACAGCGTCTCTGCTCCATCCATGAATCAGATTGGAAGTGTGTCATATGACTTGGGCTTTAGACTATGTAGTGAGCATGGCATGAATTTTTTTATTTGTTGTTTTGTTGTTTTGAGACAGGGTTTCTCTCCATAGCTTGGGCTGGCCTTGAACTCTCTATGTTGCCCAGGCTGGCCACCTCTTGCCTCAGTCTCCCAAGTGCTGGTATTACAGGTGAGCACCACCATATCCAGCCAGAGGGGAGAATTAAATGGCCTTTCACAGTTCCCTTCAAGGCAGGGTTTCCTATAACATGAAGTTGTCTTTCTGGCAGCCAAGGACAGGTCCCTTCCCCTCAGTCTACACTGAGACCAGGACAAGAAAGGCCAGACCCATGCAAGAAGCCATGCATTCATTGTCTGAGTCACAGATGTGGCCAGGAAGTAGGAGTACAGACAACAAGTCAGAGTCAGACGAGGGGTAGCACCCTCATCTCTCCTTGTGACGGCAAGGAGAGCCTCCCCTAGCCGGTACTGCCTGTCCCCCCAGCCTCCAATTAACTCAGAGATGCCAGAAAGCCTGGACAGAGGCCAGTGAGCTTTCCCTGAATCTACAAGAACCAGTTCCTTCTTCTACAGCACATCCCTGTCCAGCAGGCATCACGTATAGCTTATTTTGAAGCACATCAGAATGGTCAAGATATCTCAGAAAGCTGGTTATAGTTTCACTCAGCTGTGTCACACTAAACTCTACCAGGCCCCAGGATCTAGGAACACGCCAGTCTCAGGCCCAGTGTCTGGCCCTGAAGTCCCGGAGAGCAGAGTAGCCATGTTCCAAAGGACTTGCAGAAAGCCTAGGTCAAGAGCGCAGAAACCTGATGTCAGGCGTGTTTTCTACCCACAGGCCTTTCCTCGTCACAGTCAGAAGGGAGGGTGATTCTCACCATGGGGCATCTGTCTCCACTACACAGCCTGTGGCTAATGTGAGGCCAAGCAGGGAGGGACTTCACACTCTACATTTTAATGGTGTGATATGGGCAGGCCACCCTCCCCTCTTCTGGAACTTTCTGCTTGGCCTAATTGAGATGGTTATTGCATCCAGACCACAGAGCAGTCCTCTCTCCTTGTGGCCCAAACCAGAGGTCAGGGGAACCAGAGACGTAAAAGTGATTTTAGGCTTATCCCCTCCATCTGGAAAACAGTGTAATCCTTCAACAAGAGAGAGGTTCAGGGGATTAGAGGAAAAGATCAAACATTCTTGTTCCTGAAAGCACTAGTTTAGCTTGGGGCCTTTGACTAACAGCACCAAGTCTTCAATATCCAACACCAGCATAGGGATAATATTTTAAGCTTATCATTATAAAAAGTTCACACTTATAGTGCCATGTGCCAGTTGCATGGTGGAAATTTTGTCATTGAATCTCATAATCTTTCCAGGCAGGTGTTAACCCCATTTTATAAATGAGGAAACAGACTTAGAGATGTAATGACTTGTCTGAACACACACACAGTGCAGTGCAGTGCAGGGCCAGGATGAGTCCAGAGGGTCCTACTCCAGAGCCAGGGCTCTCCTCCACCACTGATGTGCTAGAAGAGCCAGGAGTAATGGCTTATGAGGTGCCACAAATACAGGTTCTGGATTTGGAGTTCACATGCACTTAATCCCAAGTCTCCTCCATTTGGTCACTTATAACTTGACAGGGGTAAGCTCCTCAGAGTCTTTTCTACATTTTGAAATAAGGAAATGGAAAGATGCAAAGTCCAGAGACCTTACCCCAGGAGTAGGAGAGAGGAGACAGCCATTCAGAGATGTTGACAACTTCACAATCACTCACCAAGCCTGTACTCCCCAAGCCCAGAGCTGTCCCCCCAGCCCTGCAGATCCAGGCAGTTGACAGTGCCCAGAGTTTGGCCACATCAGACTTCTCCCACACAGTGAGACTGCCCCACCCATGACCCCTGAGAATGACCAGAGAAAGCAAGAATCCTTTACAGAATTCCAGACTGAACCAGAGTAGGCAGCAAGGTCCCCATAAAGGGGCAGAGAGACGACTACCTGTTGAGTCTGTTTGGCCTATAAATAAACCACAGGGGCCAGAGCTGGCAAATGCTCGCTGGCTAGTGAGGCCTCAAGATACCCTCTTCTGACCTGCCCAGGAACTAAGTCCCAGGACAGCGTGATGAGGTCACGGGTGGGAGCAGAGGCAGCAGCTGTGAGGGGGAGTACTTCTTCCTTCATCAGTCCTGGTGACTCCAGCAGGCAGAGTACAGAACTTCCAATGCCCAGGATTCAGCTCAGCCAAGTCCAACCCCAACTCATCAAAGCTACCAGAGGGTTCAGGAGAGTTACCAAATTTCCAGAAGGTAGGTGGGAAAGAGAGGGAAAGCACAGAGAAGGAAGGCAGCAGGGGTTAGGGCCTGGGTGCTACATGTACAGCAGGTAAAGCTGCGCAGAGGGGCATCAAGGCCGGCCTCTCTGCCAAGGCTCACTCCCTGAGGACTTGTGGTTACTGCTTTTGCTTGTTTGTTTCTTTGTTGTTTGTAAGAGCTTTGCTGAGGTATAACCCGTGTGTTTACTGTTTTAGACAGCATAATATGTGTCTTACTAAGGAAAGCAGACTTGGTACCAGACTTAGCCTTGATAGGGAGGTGATCTAAAAAAAAAAACTACACTCCAAGATGTTCTGAAGTGGGTTTGGACCAGCACTGGCCATGTGCCAGATGACTGGACAATACTGGTTTGACTTGCTCTGTGCCTGAGAATCAGAGCCCAGTCCTGGGCAGGCGGTAGGTGCCCACGGAGCAAAGCAGGACAGAGGAATCTGGGAGGGTTTCCCTCCTAAACCTGGCCAGGCCAGGCTGCTAAGGGCCAGGCAGGAAACAGGGTGCCAGTCACAGGCCTGGTCACTTCCTAAGGTTGGTGGGGAGTGTAATAGGTGGGGGCAAGACAGCAGTGAAGATGCCAATTTTCCTTGTGGGTTGCAGGAGGGGCCGGGGGAGGGTCCACCTGTTTGTTTATTAAATCTAGAAAATGGAGAACTACAAATACAAAGCCATCCAAGCTCACTGGGACCTCTGTCAATCACTTCTTGTGTCCCCCTGACTTGTAGGCATGGTAAGATGTTTAGTCAAAGAAGCGTCAGCCAGAGACTCCCTTCCACCTTACTGAGGGGGGCACAGGCCAGAGAAAGCCAGCATTCGCTTTTGTCAGATTTTATTAGCTCACTAAGGACTGGGCCCAGGAGTCCTAACTCCCAGCATGACACCACTGTGTCCTCAGCTGTCCACCCACATGGCTGCAGCACTCTGCTACTCTGCACCCCTAACCCCCCCACACCATCTGGGGAGATAGTCATTTTTCTGCCCATCTTCTGACTCCTCCCTCTTGGCATCTGGCAGATTCAGGCAGCTATTCAAGGAGCTGGAAGCCAAGCACAACAGGTGTTCGGGAGGGCGTCATGATCAGCCCAGACCCCAGGCGCTCCCTTGGCGTGGCTCGGTGGGCTGAGAGCTACGAGGCGAAGTGCGAGCGGCGGCAGGAGACCCGGGAGAGCCGCCGCTGCCGGCCCAACGTGACCACTTGCCGCCAGGTGGGGAGGGCCCTGAGGACCCAGCAAAGAGAGCAACTGCGGAGAGCTCGACAACTGCAGTTCTTCAGGAGGAGGAACTTGGAGGTAGAGGAGAAAGGCCAGGCCCAGCGTCTCCGGGCCAAGGAGCAAGGCCACTCCAGGAGGCCAGGACAGGCAGCTGTCTTCAAGGAGTCTTTGTCTTCTTCCAAGAGGACTGCTCCCCTTGAACAGCAGGTGGGTCATGTCCGGGACACACTGCTCTGTGGGGGTGGGGAGAACCAAGAGGGTGAGTGGGCTCAAGGTCACCAACAAGTGCTCCATGGTAAGTCCTTTCTTCCCCAGCCATACAGTAAAGTCTCCATTAGCCTCTCACTCATTCAGAGATTCTGGTTGTGCTGACTTCGTTTGTTTAGCTCTTTTTTGTATTGCACTTGCCTTTTAGTAGAGAAAAAATAATTCCAAAAACCATTTCATAGCTAATGCCAGTATCAGTTTGAATTTTGGCAATCTACACATATCTTCTACAGCTACCTCACAGCCTTCATTCACCCATCACTCATCAGATATTCACTGAATGCTCATTATATGCCAGGTCTGTACGCAGCCGGTCCTCTTCCCCAAAGACACGTGTGTGTGCGCACACATCAGTCCTCCATCTTCTAAGGCTGTTGTACCCACGCATCTCTCTTCTCTCTTGTATACTCCCAGTTTAGTAAATTCACTCTGCTGAGGTCTCAGAGGGTCTAGGGGGCTTCTGCTGGGCTCTGCAGGCTACCTCTTCTGCTCTGTGGGCCTGTGAGGTTATAAATCCCCCAACCTTCTGGACTGGTTTCACAGAAGACAATTTTTCTGGCATTGGCATGGGGGCAGGGATCACATTCCTATGAGAACCCAGTGCCACTGCGACCTGACAGGAGGCAGAGCAGAGCTCAAACAGTAATGTGAGCAACAGGGAGCGGCTATACACACAGATGTAGCTTCCTTGGCTTGCTCACCACTCACCTCCTGCTGTGCAGCCCAGTTCCTAACAGGTTGGGAACCCTGTCATGAAGGGCCCTGTAGGCTATTCCCAAGAGGAGCCATGCTGGCAAAAAGCAGGGTATGTGGAGATGACCTCAGCTGCAAACTCTGTGAGCGCATGAACCGGGCTGTAAACACCCTGGCAGGCGGGGTGGTCATCTGGGCTCCCCGACAATGCCTGCCACTGTGCTGTTCCAGAGCAAGGTTTCTGCTGGGGCTTCCCCACAGTGGATCTGACCTGTGCAAGGGTCAGGTCTGAGGAAAGAGCCTAGGGGCTGACTGCCCAGACAACAACTGGGCTGTGGATATAGTGCAGCGGCACAGCGCCTTGCGGGCCAGCAAAAGGTCCTGAGTTCAATTACCAGCATAAAAAAAAGACAACTGTCTGCTTTTTAAGGCAAGGAAGCTTCTGAATGCCTTTTTCAGAGAAAAAAAATATCAGGACAAAGAGAACCAGAAAATACAAATAACTAAAGAACCCCCTGCCTATGAATTACTTAAGGTTTCATGCGGATTCGCTGCTCCCTTCTGGATACCATGGACATCTCTTAACCTTCTAGGGTCTTGCTGCCAACATGGACGTTTTCAGTGTGCAAGAGGAATTGTACACGGCTGACTATGACCACCACTGCCCCCCTGCCTGGCTCCCCACTCTGCTTCTCTTCACAATGCTGTGGCCACCCAAAGCTACCCCTAAAAAGGAAGCCATCCGCAGACATCGCATGGACAGGAGGCCCAGACGCAGAGCAGGCAGGGTATGAAGTCAGGTGCTCCCCGCCCAGCAGAGCAGTGCTCCTTCTGCACCGTCACACTGGCTGTGTAAGCGACTGAGACCGAACAAAGGACTGCAGTGAGAACGACTGCAGACAAGACCCACTGCCCAGCTGCCTGGCCTGCAGAGGCCCCGTCCCACTACATAGGACAGGGAAGAGCAATGGCAGCCGCCACCTGGTGGCTCTGAAAGCCTGCATGAGTTACTGTGGGTGGCTTGACTGGAAATATCATCTTAGTCCATTTGACTCTGTAAGAAATTATCACAGACAGGGTGCTTAAATGATAGAAACTTACTTCTCAAAATTCTAGAGGCTCGACGTCCTGGATCAAGGCTTCAGCAGATGCTGTATCTCATGAAGATGCTTTTCTGGACATGCAAATGGCATTCTTCTCCTTCACATGGTGTAAAACAGAGACATAGGGCAAACTTTCTCATATCTCTTTTTAGAAGGGCACCATTGAATTCAAGAGGTCCCCAACATCATATGTAACCCATTTCCAAAGTCTCCACCTCTAACACCATCACATTGGGTGTTAGAATTTTGGGAGTGGGGGGAATTAGAATATGGGAATTTTAGAGGGACACGATCATTGTTTCATCTTTCTGCAGTCATCTGGCACATCTTCCAACAAGCTCTGGACAGTGGCTCTCAGCATCTCTCACTTGCTTTCCAGGTGACAGGGACCAGCTCCGAGGTCCTTTCAATACAGTGTCATTCTCCCTCAAGCGTCCACAGGGATCTGGCTGAGCGCTACTTCTCACAAGTGGAGGCCCCTCCACCACAAGACTCTCACATCACCAAGCCTCCCAAACGCCATTGCGGTAAGGGCAGAGCTCCCTCATCCAGCAGGGCCTGCAGAGAGCTCTGCAGCAGTGGGGAACCCCTGTCCTTCCCTAACGCCCTCCCTGCCTCCCCACGGCTTCTGAGTCACCTTTCCCTCCATCTCTCAGGCACTCAGACAAAGGCAGAAGATACACAGCCAACAATTAAGAATGATGCCAGTCAGCAAACCAAGTGAGTGCCTCACTTTCCCAACCCTAGCCCTCTCACACCTCATCTACTCCTCTCTTCTGAATTTGGTGGGGGAGGTGATGGGAGTTCAGCCCAGGGCCTTCACACTGAGCTACATCCTCAGCCCTTTGATTTTTAAATTCTGAGACAGGGTCTCACTAAGTTGCTAAGTTGCTCAGGCTGGGTTCAAACTTTGGCAATCTTACTGCCTCAGCCTCCCTGACTGCTAGGATTATAGGCATGCACCACCATGTTCAGCTTCTCCTAAATGTTTACTTCAGTCCCTCTACCCAGCATGCGCAGAAAGCAAATACAATGACTATCTACATCCACCTTAATTTAAAAAGAGGAAGCCTGCCCCAAACCCAGAAGGGTCCCAGAGGCAAGTGACCCACTCCCTCCACCACAGGACTTGCTTGATTCTTTAGTCCATTGTCTTTTCCCCTCTTCTCTTTCCAGTTACGGAGTTGCAGTTCTGGATAAGGTAAAATAATCCTTACTTCGATTGGATTCGATGGTATCTGAGCTCTGACATTTTGGTATCCACTATAAACTCAGGCTAGGGTGGGAGGACACTCTTCCTGGATGGCAAGAGAGTACCATGCAGAGACATGGGAATCAGAGGGCCCCTATCAGACCCTGGCAGAAAACATGCGCTCAGCACAGGCCAGCACAGGCCTTTGTCCTATGCTAAAGGACTTCAAGGGCCTACAGTCTTTTTGATACAGGTTTTCTTTCTCTCTAGGAAATCATCCAGCTTTCTGAGTACCTCAAAGTAAGTGACCTCTCCACTCAGCTTCTCCATTCACCTACCACCTTCTCTAGGCTAATCTTACCTCTTACATGTTTTGCCCCACAGGAGGCCCTGCAAAGGGAGCTGGTCCTAAAACAGAAAATGGTGATTCTCCAAGACCTACTATCTGCCTTGATTCGGGCTTCAGACAGCTCTTGGAAGGTAAGGGAATGAAACTTTGAACAAAGCTCCTGGGTTTCTAGGTGTGCTCATCTTATTTTTCTTCCCTTCCCACCCAACAAGAGAAATGCTGCCTGACCCCTGAAGAGAGGGTTGGAAAGGGGCAAGCAGTGGGGGTGTCATGCTTGGACCTCAAGTCAAACGGGTCACAGTAAATACATGGGTCATCAGCTGAGGGTCTTGCTGCGATACCCAGGAAATCTCAGAACCAAAAGTTGAAATAAGGACTACTTTTTAATCTGTGAGGCTCTTTCTTCCAGTAGCTTACATTACTGAATATGGTAAATGTGAATGGGTTTTGTATGGGATTCACATCAATATCCACTGAAGCCACCCTCACTACTCCGCTCCCACTACTCAGTCCAGACATGCGTGGCAGTGTGGGAGGGACCTGAGACCTCTCCTACTGTCCATGAGGAAGAGCTCTCAGAAGGGTTGAGTGACTTGCACAAAGTCACAAAGCTAGGGGGCAGCAGAATGGAACTAAGTCAAGCCTCTGACTTTACTCCAGTCATTCCACAAATATTCACAGGTTATGTTCTTCCCATTGAGCACAGGGCTTACACAGGAACAACAAGACTTGTGGCAGGGACCCTGATTTTAAAGAGCACACAGTTTTCTAGGAGAGACCACACAATACAAATACTATAACAAATAAATGTTTTTAGGGTGCAGTAGACCACAAGAAGGAAAGAGTAACTCCAGAAAGGGACATACAGGCAAATATTTACAGTTATAGAAGCATTTGCCAGGCAAAGGGAGAAAGAGAAACAGGATCCTACAGAGGAGACACAGTATAGGCAAAGACCTCGAGGCATGATACGTAATCCAGTGTAATGGGTCTCTGGCTATTTTCATCTCAAAACTTCTTTTGATTTTTTGGTGGTTTGGGGTTTTTTGTTTGTTCCGTCTTTTTGTGACAGGGTCTCACTATGCAGTTCAGGCTGGCCGTGAACTCACTTTGTAGGCCAGGTTGGGCCAGTGATTCTCCTACCTCAGCCTTCCAAGTGCTGAGGTTATGGGTGTACGCCACCATGCCCAGTTCAAGATTTCTTTATACTATTTAATCATTAAAACTTTCAGGGGGCTGGAGATTTAGCTCAGCGGCACAGTGCCTGCCTGGCAAGTGCAAGGTTGTGCGTTCGACTCCCAGTACCAGAGAAAAACAAAAACAAAAAAACAAACAAAAAAAAATTTCAGATAACTTTTTATATTTAACATACTAAAACTTACCATGTTAAAAATTCAACCAGAAATTCAGTAATATTTATTAATTTTAAAATAACAACGATAAGCTATCTCATGCTAACCTTAATTATATATTCTATGAAAAATAACTTTCAGAAATAAAAAATAATGAGGTGTGGCATTGCTTTATGCTTTTGCAAATCTTCCTAATGTCTAACTGAACAAAAGACAGCTAAACTCTCATACTTGCTTCTGAATTCAATGTGTTACAACACATTCTCTTGGTTGAAATATATGAAGAAAATTCAATCTTGCACAGACACGCAGTTGGAAAAGGGAAGACCTTGCAGGTCCCTAAAACAGTCTTTGGAACCTGCAGGGGTCCTCCGAGCACACTCTGAGACCCATAGGTATGGCGAGTTACAGGGAGTTGAGGCCAGCAAAGCCTAGAGCACCCAGGACAGTGAGGCACAGCATGAGACCGCACAGGCCCCTGGAGACATCTCCCCCGCCAGGTCTGAGCTCTGAGATGTAACAGGTAGGCATAGAACAAAGCCAGGACTGCAGTGATACACAGGGCTTCCTGGGGCAGGGATGTCGCTCTGTATAAAGCACTTGTCTAGCATGTGGGCCCTGAGTTAGATCCCCAGTACCACAAATATAAAAAATAAAGAATGTGCATTCACAGAAGACTTCCTAGCTCAGCCCTTCATCCCCACACCAGTCAGGGTACTGGACTTGGGAGACTCCAGTCAGAGCCCTGGCCAGCTAAGGATGTCATTTCCCCTGGCAGAGCAGGGTGCAAGCAGCTGTGCAGACCAGGTGGTTTCCGGTACTGAGCTAAAAGGAGATCAGCTCAACTCATTTGTTCAACAGATAGTTGATAAGCTCCTCCTCAATGCCAGGCCCTGAACTTCAGGAACAAAAAGAAGTAGAGTCTTTGCTCTTAAGGAGCTGGCAGTCCAGCCAGAAAGAAAGAGACAAGATAAATAACTCCAAAACAGTTCGATATGGCTGCTCCCGTGGTATACACAACATGACACAGGAAAAAGAGCACTGTTCTGCCGGAGGAGGACAAGGGAAGGCTCTACAGGAAGACCACTTCAGTTAGGTCTTGAAGGATGAGTAAGTTCAGCAGTCCAGAAATCAAGTGAGATGAGGAAGAAAGAACAGAGAGGACAAGAATATCTGAGTTAAGGGATCAGAATGACTGCAGCCTAGGGCTGACCCTGGCATGGATGTGGGAGAAGCAAAGAGATCATATCAGAGTACCACCACAGAAAGGGCCTCAGGCAGGTCTCTAGAATTCTGTTATGGGACTCAAACTCTTCCTGCTCAACAGTGTATCTATAACTTCAATAATGAGTGGACCCTTTCATTTTGTTGTTTTGTATGGACCCAATAAGAGGACATATCCCAAAGATCCATGAGATACATGCTACCCCTAGTTTGGGAAACACTGCTACAGTGCAGAAGCAAGGCAGCAGCCATGTGTGGTGGTGGCACACATCTCTAATCCCAGCACTCTGGGATGCTGAGGGAGGAGGATCACAAGTTTGAGCCTAGGCTAAGAAACTTAGCAAGACTCTGTCTCAAAATAAATAAACAAAAAGGGCTGGGATACAGCTCAATGCAGAGGCCCTGGGTTTGATCCTTAGTACAGAGACACAGAGAGAGGGATGGGGCTAGGGGAGCAGTGGAACTATGCCTTATTAGACTTAGTAGTCTGCCCTTCTGTACAAGGCACTCAACTGAATTATAAGTGAATTACCACATCTGTGTTTACCAGAATCTAACCAGCATCAGGACCATGGCTGTGGATGAGGTTGGGGCAGCAGAGACTTGTAATAACCCAGATAAGCCATAATCTGAGCTCGAATTATAGCAAGCTTGGTGGCAATGGGGAAGATTTACTACAAGACATAGACTCCTGAGGCATTCTCTCCTGAGGGGGAATTTTGCCCCATAGTCCAACCCAAAGTTTCTCTGGCAGTGGTTTTTTCCCTCCATTCTTCCCATCCCTCCCAATCCTTACCCTTCACTTCCTCCTGCTCCCCAAACACCCTACCCTGCCCCCAGCTTCCTGTTTTTAAGAAAAATACTCTCAGACTATTCAGCTGAAAGCTCTTGCTTCTCTCAACACAAGACAGTCAACTCTCTATCCCTCCCTGAAAGCCTCAACTTCAGTGAAAGGACAGTCCCAGTCTATGGTATTTGGGAAAAATAACTGGATGAATGTGGCCAGAACTGGGTTGCTGATGTCTCATTCAGTTCACATTTTATTTTTTCCATTTGGCCCCATGATTTGACTCTCCACCTTCACACATGGAGCACACAGCAATGCTGTTAGAACTCCAAGGATCCACAATCTCCATTGCCTCCAGCCTCAAGTGGACTATAGGCCTTTTGGATGCTGAAGGCCCTAGGATTCTGCTGAGAACCTGAACTAGGTCCAATCTTCAGAGCAGAAACATCTTGGCCAGTAGAGAAAGCTTAACACTGGACAATACAGAGATGAGAGCACGGTATTCTTTGGTTTTAAGGTCTGCAAAGTAGAATCAAGATCTTGAGATGACAGCACGGCAGGGGATTGGCTAAATGCCCTAAGCAAGAGAGATGAGAGCAGAGAGATGAGCTGTGGTCTAGTACTTCTGTGGTGAGCTGGTGGTGTTTTAGAAGAACAGTTCAGAGGCAGGGGAAAACCAAGCAGAAGCAGAAGCCCTCAGACCGACACCAGGTGTGTATGACTCTGCCTTACTCCCTTTTCTACCAGGCTAACTGTGCCAGAGCCCCAAGCTCCTGGGTGTGTCTGCATGGAAGGTCAGCAGAAGACCTGGGAGAAGTGCCTCTTCCCACACTCTAACACTGGGCTTCAGGATGGGCAGACCTGGGTTCAGACCAGGAAACTACATGCCCCATTTGTAATAACTTGGCTGAAACCCTCCTGCCTGCCTTCAGGAGTCTGAGAAGGCAGGACTGTGTACAAGAGATTCTGTTCAAGCTCCAGACTTGGGTGGCCCTGCACCCTCACAGAAGGGGCTATCATGAATTGTCTTGTATTGCAACATAAATGGAAAAGCAATCTGGGGTGGAGCTAAAATGCAAAAACAGTTGGAAGAGGCAAAATATATTAAAACCATACTGTGAAACAGAGAAAGGAGCTATCCAAAAAGGGTAGGAGACTTGGGGGATTTTAAGAATACTGCTTTGGGCCTATTTTCTTTCCAAACGCTAGTAAGATAATCTTCAAAATTTAGTAAGTTTGGTTGCATTCTGCAGAGCGACAACTTGGGCAAAGAAAAATGCATGGAATTGGAAGATATGAACCAGGGGAGGTAGGAATGAGGCCAACTGATTTCAGGACCTGTGGGTTGACAATGAACAGGCCACTGTGGAATGTGGCCATTTTACCAGTTACTCCAAGGCCCAAACCGTGGAAGTGTTTACCCATCTCTTCCATTCGTCCCAAAGCCCTGTGGGTTGCTGTAGACACCAAATCCCTGACTCTTGGCTCTCTCATATGAGACGCCGGGAAAAACATTAATAGCAGGAAGCACTTTAAAGAATTGTCTTTGGCAAAGCTTTTTGCTTTTGCAAGGTCTAGCTGAGTAATACAGGAAGCAGAAAGGGTGGGGGCATGCCCTGGCCCCCATGGTTAGAAGAATCTGCCAAACAAGACCAAAACAGGAGCTGTGAAATACCACTTCCTGCCTCCCCTGCCCCCAAGCATGGGGAGTGGCAGATCTGAAAAACAGAGGCCCCTCCTCTGCTCCCATTATAGGCCAGAAATATGATAAAGGTTGGAAACTCTAGCTGTATAACTGAGAGGGGCCACTGCATCCAAGGCCTGAACAGAGGTGGAAATTCTAAATTCAACAAAAGTCCCACAGAGCCTGGATGGAAAAAGTCAGAAAAATAGGCAAAACAGTTACTTCGGGAAAGGCCCATCGCCCTCTCTCTGAGGAACTTACTATCATTGGTATTGCCATCCCTATGTGTGGATAGACCTAAAACAAAACCGGAAGAAAAAAACCTACCTAGGAAAAAGGTATAAGTCTACAGCTGGAGGGATGACAAAACAGCAAGGAACTTATTACACTGGCTGCTCAGCTGAAATGCTGAAAAGTTGAAAAAACAGAGAATGGCCCTTCTCGCCCACCATTCTCCACTCTCAGCCTTGGGTAACCACCCCCTTGCAATGTCAAAATGGCACAGATGCACACACAGGGTGCTGGCTATGACCACCCAGCACTGAAGAAAAAAGAAACACCGTCAGACTGGCGCAGCACACGAATAAACAGAATGTGGCTTTCAGGAAAGCACTCTTCCTCTGCCCTCACCTACACGTTCATCTCTCTCCCTCCATTTCTTTCTTTCTTTCTTAAAGAATTTCTCATCTTGGGGGAGAGGGGACAGGGAGGGTAGCATATTAGTGTAGTCAGCCATAACTGCAAGATCCACCTCCTCAGATTCAATCAACCTCAGATCAAATGTCACTGAAAAAAAATCCAGAGTCCATCTTGTCTTTCTTCCCTGAGCAATAATGTGTGACTACTATTTCCATGGCGTTTCGATTGTATTGTAAGTAATCTAGGGAGAATTTTAAGTATGTAGGAGGATGTGCATAAGTTAGACCATACCATTTTATAAAAGAGACTTGATTTCAGCACCCGTGGATTTTGTCATTTTGGCAGGAAGGGAGCCCTGGAACCAAGCCCAGGTGACTGGGATGACTGTATGCTAGAGCTGCCATTAAAAAAAGTACTACAGAGAGCAGGGTAGCTTCAACAGTAGAAACTTATTTTCCCACGGTTCTGGAGTCTAAACCTGAGATCAAGGTATCAACAGGACTGGTTTCTCCTGTGGTCTCTCTCTGCTAGCACAGGACCACATTTGATGTGTCTTCATGTAGTATTCCCTCAGGGTATCCTACTGTCCCAAATTCCTCTTTCTATAGAGATTTCAGTCTGCTCTACAACTTCTATATCCACACCTACCCCAAATAAAGCAAATTTAAGAGAAAGTAAAGGGTTTAAGGGCATGTGTATTTTTACCAGGGCAGTGTGTGGATACTGGAAGATATACAGCTTTTTTATTAGAACAATGGAGTACATAAATTAGAAACTTCTAAGTGCACTGCTTTTGGAGGAGGTATCTATATAATACATTTATTCTGTCAGACTAAAAAATGTAAAAAATTTGATTCCCCCTATAATTACAGAAAGTTAAATATGTAATGTATTACCATAAGGATTTCTAATGAATAGAATATATCCAATTGCCGCATTCCTGATGTGTATTTTTAAAGCATGTATCTGCTCAGATAAACAAATTATCACATGAGTAAAATTTAGTGTGTAAAACTTGGAGATACTCTTCACCTGATGTGTCGCCAAATAAAGGTTATGCTGCTGTTAAAAAAGAAAAGATTCCTAAACCAGGCATGGTGGCACACACTTTTAATTCCAGCACTTGGAGGGCTGAGCCAGAAGGATCTATGCAAGACTGAGGCAAGCATGAACTACATAGTGAGTTTTTAAGACCCTGACTCAAAAAGCAAAAGCAAATAAAAAATGATTCTGGTCATGCTGGATTAGGCTATATCTTAATGACTTCATTTTAACAGAATTAATCTATTTAAAGACTCTATCTCTGAATATAGTCACATTCTGAGGGACCAGAGGTTAGAACTTCAATATACAACCTTAGGGAAGGGGAGTGCAGCTTCTAGTAAGGAGCAAGGGAGAGAACACCCACTTTCCCCTCCAGCACTGCTGGCCCGTACTTCACAGTCAAGGTCAGGTTCAAGACTGAGGGAGGAGTGAGCAGTGTCCCAGCAGGGAGTGAGGAGATGGGAGGAAAGGGACAGTTTAGCTTCCCCCTGGGCTCTTCCGCACTAGGGTACAGCCTGAGCCACCTGACAGAGAACTGGAAGGCAAAGAGGGTTCTTTGGGAGCCAGTCTGATTCATCCTTGTCCTCCCCAAGCGTCCTCTGTCATCACTGCTCCTCCTGAGAGTTCCGTTCCACAGCGCTGAGCACCACCTTGTGCTGGGCCTTGGTGGGAAGAGCGACTCTCTCTTCACAGATGCACTCTGGCTTGAACTTATTACCCCCTCCCTCTGCTCCAGGGACAGCTGAATGAAGACAAACTGAAGGGCAAACTGAGGTCCCTGGAAAACCAGCTCTACGCCTGTACCCAGGTAAGCTTTCCAGGGGATGCATCTGGCTCATGAATCCAGAACTGAATAAAAATGCTAGAGCCTCAGTGCTACTTCCTGAAATGCTCCACTCTGACCCAGGTGTGGTGTGGCCACTCCCACTTTGGTTCCTAATTTGCCATGAATATCTCCAGCCTCCCGCTTTTCCTGGTACCCTTCCTTGTGCATGCTGGGAAGGAATCCCAGCACTGAACATTTCATCAGCTCCAAGGGAGCCTAGAGAACACCCAGCTGTAGGGAGAGGCCCTTGGTAAACACTCTCACCACCCAGCTAACCTTCTTAGGTCCCGGTATTTGTTTTGCTTTTTGTTTTTTGCTTTGAGACAGGGTCTCACTATGCAGCCCAGGCTGGCCTTGAACTCTGAGCAATCCTTCTGCCTCATCCTCTTAAATGCTAGGATTACAGGCATGTACCACTTGGCAAGTCCCAGTACTTGAACGGATGGGGTGGACATTACAAGGAAGATGTCTGGGTTTTGTTTGCTTGCTCATTTTACAGTAGCAGGAATGGAACCCAGAGTATAATTCAGGTTGGTAAGCACTCCATCACTAAACTACATCACCATCACTATAGAGAGCCCTTCTCAGTTCTCATCATGGCCCAGGTTTGTATTTGTAATCTCATGAAAAGTTACTGGAATTCTAGTGAGTTAATTTTAATCTACCACCTCCAGTGCAACCCACGGCGAGAATAAAGATACTAAGGCATATTTGTAGTTATAGGGAGACAAGGGGTCCTAAGTCCAGCCATGATGATGGCCATCCAGAACAAAGGCAGTGATCCAAGGCCAAACCCAGGTTTTATTCGTTTATGAAGGAGTGGCTTGAGGATGAGTGACTGTGAGAACAGTGGGAAGTAGGTGAGTGCCATGAGCTGGGCTAGGTAGGAGGCCTGAAATCACCTCTGCAAATGCAAAGAGAAGGATATGCAGAAAAAGTAATCTGCATAACACAACTGAGATAGTATCTAATGTTTTGGGGTGGGTGCTTTAGCTCTGATGTGTAATCTTTCAAGCCCCAGGAAGTCATAGCCTCCATCCCCAGGCGGCTCCATCCCACCGATAGCATAGCGATAGCGTGGAGTGTCCTGCCTCATCCCTGCTCACTTGTGTGTGTGTGGGGGGGGGGGGCGTGTTCAGGGAAACACATCTGCCACCTTCAAAGTCTATCATCAGCACCTCGGCTGGACTGATATGCATTACTCAAAGCCAACTGAAGGGGTAAGAAAAGGGTCCTAACGAGCTCTGTACATATCAATACATGGAAACAGGGTCAGGCTCAGCCAAAATGGAGGCAACTGCTCCTCTTTTAAGGAGAGTCGCCTAGGTAGGCCTCCACACATCACTGTCACCAGCCTTTTATTTTACTTTTGGGAGGTAGGGTCTGGCTAAATTGCCCAGGTTGTCCTTGAACTTGTGTTCCTCTTGCCTAATTAAGTTTCCTGAGTAGCTAGAATTACAGGAGTGTGTCACTGCGGGTAAGTAGAATTCTTGAAAACTGACTTCAATTCTGTGGGCAACTTTTTCCTAGTAGTAACCTCTGGAAGAAAGTAAGAGTGTGACTCGGCTTTTCTGGGACATTATTATCCAGCTTCGGTAATCTCTTGATTTGGTCTAATCTTGATTAAAAAAAAAAAAAAAAAGAAAGAAATCAGTCTGTGGACAGGCACGGGGACTCAGCTTAGATCCCTGTGTGTGGGAGGCTGGCAAGTTTTCGTGAGACAGCAAGACCCTCTCTCAAAAAGGGAGACGGCGGGAGTAGTAGACCCATGTCTCTTATTTAGAATAACAGTTGGGATCTTGCAGAAGAAGTTTATATAGTCTGTACGTTTCTCAGCCTACAAGTTTTATTTCTTCAATATGACCTACTTTGTTAGGTTTTTAAGAACTAAATAATCCAACCACATTTATAAGAGATTCACATATAACCCAGAATGCCAGTGTATTCATTTTCAGAAGGGAATAAAGCTGGTCAAAGACCAACATGGTTAAATCCAATAACTGAACCAGGCGTGGTGGCACACACCTGTAATCCCAGCATTTGGGAGGCTGAGACAGGAGGATCATCACAAGTTCAAGGCCAGCAGAACTACACAGTGAATTCAAGGCCAGCCTAAAACACACAGTGAGACCCTGTTTAAAATCCAAACAAACCAAAATAAATCCACTAACTATGCCATGCCCCATGTATAATCTCAACCAATCCACCCCTAGATCTAGTTAATAAGAATTTAAGGCCCACTCATATATAAATCCAAATTTTCAGACAACTCCAAAGCTATATGGAAATGATTTAGATTGATCCCTAAATTTTTATTATCAGATCTGCTTCCCCAGGGGTAATCTAGAACTGACTGCAAGAGCTGCATCCTTCCCCAAAATCACAGGGCATGAAGAGGAAAGGCACGGGGAGGGCAGGTCCCCATGAATCTGTAGATCTATTCTGCTATCTCTCCTGATAGAGAGCCCCTGGGTTCAGTCCCAAGTACTTTCCAAAAGAAGAAGAAAAGAACAAGCAAGGTGTCGTGGGGCATACCTGTAATCCTAGCCCTCCGGGAGGTTTGGCCAGAAGGATGAATTCAAGTCTAGCCTGGGCAATTTAAGTGACCTAATAAGACCCCAGTTCAAAATAGAAAATTTTTTTTAAAAAAGGGGCAGGGGCTGCGGATGTGGGGATGTAGAGAAGAAGGCGGGGGAGGAATCTCTAATTTATAGAGTTGGAAAATAGGAGTTTATTCAAAATTTACCAGAACTGGAGCCAGGCATAGTAGCATATACCTGTAATCCCAGCACTTGTGAGGCTGAGGCAGGAGGATTGCTGCAAGTTTGAGCCCAGCCTGGGTTGCACAGTGACTTCAAGGCAAGCCCGAACTACATAGTGAGAAAACATAAAAAGAAAGAACTAAGAACTTTCGTTTCAGAAAACATAAAAAGAAAAATCACCAGAACTGATGTTACCTGGGCTGAATCTTGAGCATGAGTTGAGGTCTGGTGGGTGAAAAGGCGGTAACAAGGCTCCAGGCAGAAGAAACTTTGGGAAATAGTGAAGGCTAAAAAGCATGCGCAAGGATCTGCAAAGCACTTCAGCCTGGACAGAGGCAGCACAGCAGGGAAGTCTGGGTTATATGCAGTGCTTTCAAGGAATTTGGACCTGATCCTTAGGACAGAGGAACCAGTGGGAAATTTACACAGAAGTGGCATGATCAGGTGCCACTCTAAAATTAGCAAGAACCCTCTGGCTAAGGTTTGAAGGGAGGCAAGCATAAGAGGTAGGAAGACTATTACATTAACCAAGTCAACAGCAGAATCGGTCTGCATTCAGGACGCAGCAGAAAGGACAGAGAAGAAACAGGTATGGGCTGTTCAGGAAGCTGACAAGGCCCAGTGAAGGGATACTGAGGGAAAGGCGGAGAAGTTGAAGGAGGACCCGGTGGGTGACGACCTACATCACTGAGGTAGGAAGCCCAGGAGAAAGGAGATCTAGGCAGATGGGTTCCGTTGGGACCGATTAGAGTTCAAAAGCCTGCAGAAGCAGGCGGCACAACGCACAGCAGTCCTGTGACACTCATATCTCACAGCCAGAGGGACTCTTGCTCAGCTCTAGGCTGGAGGAAAAGGCCTGCCACACTACTGTACCTCTGCCCTGGAAACAAGGCCCAAATTCTCTTCATCTCTGTGTACCAGCTCAGTGTTGGGCACCTGTAAGCTCGATGCGTGTTGGTTCAATTGCATCAAATTTGCAGAAGTACTCCCCTTGGCGAATGAACAAGGTGCTGCTGGAGATGGAAGACCAGAAAAACAGCTATGAGCAGAAGGCCAAGGAATCACTGCAGAAGGTGCTAGAGGAGAAAATGGGCGCAGAGCAGCAACTACAGAGCACACAGGTGAAAATGTGGGATGGTCCTTGGGGCTGAGAACTCCAGGGCTGATCTGGAAAGCAAGACACAACTCCCTAGCAACTGTTCCTCACCAAATACATCTAGCATTTATTTTAATATAAACAAGTGAGGGAGTACCAAGTGCTTCTGTAACCCTTCCTCCAAGCCTCTGCCTTGGTGGGAGAGGCTTCCACGGGAACCCCTCCTCTCCGATCTCCCTCAGCGGTCCCTGGCCCTGGCAGAGCAGAAGTGTGAAGAGTGGAGGAGTCAGTATGAGGCTCTGAAGGAGGCCTGGATGACCCTAGGGGCACAGCACAGAGAGCAGGAGAGCCAACTCCACGTGCTTCAGTCCAAAATACAGGTACCAGGCACTGGGAGTGGGGAGAGAAGAAGGGGGAAGAAGGGTGGTGGTCAAGAAAAGCTTCTCTTGGGTTGGAGATTCCAAAGGTAGCTGAGGACATCCAGCTTTTGGTTCCTTACTCAGGCCTACTTTGTGCCAGAGTCATTGTTTCAGGTCTGAAATTCAGTTCTGAGTTTACAAAGGACAACTATTGCTCATGCAAATGAACTGAGTGTTCACTGGAATGACACAATCCAAATGCAAGGGCTGGGCCGAAATATTTATCAAGCTACTCACATCATACTCCAACCCACTAGCTGAAACCATCCAAGTAGAGCATGTAGTTCAGAACTGCCTACCATATGGACAGAACAAATCTCAATAACTTACTTATAGGTGAGTAGAAACTAATACTATAATGTGGTTTTTTTTTAAGCAATTACAGTGAACTCTGGACATTCACAAAAGTTCCATCATTTCAAATCTGCTAGCCTGGAAAAGTTAACTAACCTCCAAAGCTTCAGTTTCCACATTTCTAAAATGAGAATAGGGGACTGGGGATTTAGCTCAGCGGCAAAGCGCCTGCCTGGCAAGCGCAAGGTCGTGAGTTCGGTTCCCGGTACCGGAGAAAAACCAAGAAAAACCAAAAAAAAAAAAAAAAAATTAAAATGAGAATAATAGTACCCATATCATAGGATTGTTATATGGATCAAATAGCATAGCACTAGGCATACTGCCTGGCACACACCAACATTCAAGGCATATTAGCTACTGCATTGCACAGATTTTACTCGCTTGGTTTGAACTCTCACAATCCACCCCAAAAGCTGATCTTCACAATTTTCCTGGAACAGGGATCAGAACAGCCCACTTGGTAAGAGAGGGCATGTGGCTTTTCAAAGGACGGCCCCTCACGGGTCCTTCTCCACTGTGCCCGCACTGGGACCTTTGTTGCTCTCTTCTTCCTATCACCTGTAAGACAGTTCTCAGGAACAATTGCATTTCTTTTTTAGACTTTTTCTTTATGAAAAATGCCCCTCCATATACAAACAAAAAACCTTGACAGGAGTAGAATGAAAACTAAAGAGAAAACCAAAACATCTGGGTAAATTCTGACCTAATATGCTTTCACCTGGGGACTTACACCACAGTGTCAGGGTGTGATTCCTGTGAACACGAAGAGTCCAATGCATGGTTGAAAATGTGAGGAACAGAGCAAAGAGAATGGAAAAAGAAATTCGCTGACACTTCTAGCTCTGAAACTCTACAATTTCCTGTAATTTTCCCCTTCTGGGGAAGCTGCTCCCCTCCTCCCCCAGAACTGATAGGTGCCCTCTACCTCCCTGCAGGGAGCAGACAGCAGAGACGCACAGATGAACCAGACCCTGCGACTTTTGAAGAATGAGCACGAGGAGCTGCAGGCCAAGATTGAATGCCTGCAAGGGGAGCAAGACCTGTGCGCCTCCAATTCCCAGGACCTGCAAGGTACCCTTCTCCTTGGAGACCTCGGAGCATGGGCACTGTGGCTGAGGGAGCTCAGCGAAGGAGTCTGGGTGGAGAAAGGACCTCAGCCTTTCTGTTTGCTTGCCCTTATGATTTCATCTTACCTTGAGGGAAAGGAAGGGCTATTTTAATCAGCCAAGGTGAAAATTAGTTTTGCTATACTAGAGGATCTTGTTGTGTGAGCTCTCTTCTGCAGCAGCCCATCCCTCTGGGCCAGATCACAGCTGCTCCCATATTAGTCACATGTATCAAGGCCACATTCCTAATTTGAAAGGGAAAGACCAGCTCAAATTCAAGACTGCATGAAGGTATGTCAGCCACAGCCTGTATCAGCTGAAAGACTAGAAAATGTGGAAATACAGCCCTTAATTCAATCCAACACAACATGTACCCCCACTGATAAAAAGGTATGTGGGTGCTAGTCTACTGCTTTAGAACTGGGACACCCACAGAAAGCAGAACCACCTCCAGTTGACATGCGTCCCTTTTACTAATTTCCATCCTCAGGTGTTAAGTTCATTAAGCTGGGTTCTTCTATTTTTGTTTGCACGGTTTCACTTTCAGATCAACTAAAGAGGTCTGAGGAGGAGAAACTCGCCCTGGAGGCCAAAGTACAGCAGCTGCAGAGTAAGTTTCCTTCCCCAATTCTCGAGCTGGCACCCAGGCTCCTTGGTGCTCCTCCCAGCAGAACTGGAGTCCTGGTCTCTCGCACATCCTCCTACTTCCGTGTCTTTTCCAATCTACTTCTGTGAACTGGAGTCATAAGTTATTATGTTAGCTTTCGATCTTTTGCTCCTATTTCCCTCCATGTCAATAACAAACTTCCATTTCTATGAGAATTTCAAATTTTATAAAGCACTAGTGTTGTGCATTGCTTCTTTTCATATGTATTCTAACTTATTACATAAATGAATATGTCACTTAAGACTTTTCTCACTTTCTCACTAAAATAAGTGTTTATCGAGGTCCAAGTAAGTGTCAGGTACCAGGGAATTTACACTGAAAATATAATGACAAAACTAGTAATTGCCTCCTTTATAAAGCTGACATTCCAAGTAAGGTCTCCAGTGTAGTACCGGGATTTTATGGAAAAAAAAAAATCAAGTCATAGTAAGTGCTATGGAAGAAATAAAAGCAGGTCAAAGGGGAAATAGTTGCTATTTTGCATAGGGTCATCTGGGAAAGCTTTCTTTCCTTTCTTGGCGGGAGGATTTTGTTTTTGAGACTGGGTCTCATGTAGTTCAGGCTGGCCTTGAACTCACTAGCAGCCCAGACAGGCCTCAAACTCAGGGCCCTCCTGCTGCTTCAGCCTCCCAAGTACTAGAATTACAGGCATGCCCAGCAAGCTTTTCTTAGGGTAACCTTTAAGCAGAGATTCGAAAGCAAAGACATGGCAGAAGATATGAGACTAATATATTTGCAACAGTACCACAGATGGGCAACCTGAAGACCAGGCTGTGGGCAGGGTCAAGCTGTAGGCAGGGTCAGTTTCTTCTGAGGGCTTTGAGAGAAGGCTCTACTCCAGGCCTCCTCTCTGGCTCTGTGGATGGCCATCTTCTTCACTTCCTCAGTCCCCAGAGCACATGTGGGTCTAAATTTTTCCTTCTTGTATGGACACCAGTTATCTACATTAAAGCCCACCATAATGACCTTATTTTTACTTGACTACTCCTATAAAGACTACTGCCAAAGAAGTCATACTGTGAGTTAGTGGGTGGTTAGGACTTCAACATATTAATTTTGGGGGACAAATTTCAATCTGTAAAAGATGGTGCTATCTTTAAGGTTCTAAGTAAAGGTCTGAAGAGGTTCTCTGTAGTACATCTGCTAGCACAGACAAGTTCCTTGTGTTTCCCAACAGGTCTGCTTCAGAATCAATCCTTACAGCTTCAAGAACAGGAGAAACTCTTAAAGAAAGGTCAGCAAATTTACTACCACAAACCCTAAACTATTACTCTGTTTGCCCACCTAGAGGAATGAGGGTGAACTACATGACCTCTTGGATCCCACCCAGTTCTGGAAGTCTGTTAGGTCAGGGATATAGGGGAGTCTTTGATGAAATGATCACTGGCCCTGGGGACACCCCGTAGTTAGCCCTCTAACCTAAGAGGTACACAAACTGTGAAAAAGGGTTTCTACTTTCTCTGAAAACATGTTTATGTTGAACATTTCAATAAATTGATTTTGAACTCAGGATTTCATGTCAGTTTTTACACACTTGACTTTCCAAACCACATCCGAGTACTCCCCAGCCCCAAACCACATAGCATGCAAGTCAGTCTCACTTTAGCCCTAAAATACTCTGCTGCCCATTCCCTGAGAATTCCTACGTATGCAGAAGGAGCAACAACTCATTTATCCATAACACATAGCCTCTTGTTTTCTTTTTCATTTTGTTTTTTACTTTTAGAAATGTTTATTTTAGAAACATACAAAACTAAACACATATTTTAGTCCATCAGCCTCTATAGAGAACAGGGTGTCACAAGTTTATAGACAGACATTTTACAAGTATCTATGCCACGATGTAAGGAGGCCTAGAACACCTAGAATAGCCTCTTGTTTTCTCCTCACAGTCACTGGGTATATATAATACACGAGAGAAAGCAGAAATTATAGAGTTCCCTGATCACACAAATTAAGGAGCTAAAATGACAATGCAGAATCCTGATTCCTAGTCCTGTGCTCTTTTTTACTCTTAAGACTAAGATTGCAAAATGGACTTAAAAACCATCCTTAATCACATATAATAAATTCCCGGATCTGAATGCCATTTTCATGAGTTTGAAAGGAGGATGTACGAGAAAGTTATACAGAAACACTCAGCAAACCTACCTGATAAACTATGAAGTATGGGACACACAGCCAAAGAAAGGCAATTAATAAGTAGTCACTTATTAATAGTCTGGGGACACACAATAAAGGAGCCAATCCTGCCCTCACGGAGTTCAAACTCCAGCTGTCTGTCCAAGCTGAGCAGGGTCCCAGTGAAAGTACTTTTAAAGGGTCGTACCTCCTCTCACCTCCAGTTCTTAGGGACAGGGCCTTTACTCAGCAGCCTGGGGCTCACCATCACTGCTTTTTTAGATCAGGCCTTGCCTATGTGGACTCCAAAGCCTTCCCAGGAAGTGGAGCCTGAGGGTACAGGGAAGAACAAAGACTGGGATCTCAAAGACCAGCTGCAAAAGAAGACTTTGCAGCTTCAGGCCAAGGAACAAGAGGTGAGACAGTGACCTAGAACTATGAGGGGCTCCTCCCTAAGCAGCGGGGAAACTACTGGGAGGCCGCTGGAGAACACGGACTTCTGCTTAAACCATGCTTACATGTGCGCATGTAAAACCTCTCTGCCTTTGGGTTGATTTGTCAATTGTTTCCCTGCCTTATCCAACCCCAACTCAAGGCTTTATTAGTTACCTTTTAGAAAGTCAACCTCAGCTGGGCGTGGTGGCGCACGCCTGTAATCCCAGCACTTGGGAGGCTGAGGCAGGAGGATCGTTGTGAGTTCGAGGCCAGCCTGGGCTTCAAAGTGAGCTCAAGGCCAGCCTGAACTGCATAGCGAGACCCTGTCTCAAGAAGACAAAAAAAAAAAAAAAATAGAAAGTCAACCTCAGCTCAAACATATTTGATAATTAACTTCTCAAGGTCTGCCCTACACTGAGTATCTCTGGAAGCTTTATATTGTCTCTTAAATAGCAAACTTCCCTAGCTACACGCATGTGTCCTTGCAAGCATTCACAAACAACCAGCTCCCAGAACACACTTGTACTAAAATCACTTCCAGGTCTTTTGTGCTACAATGTCACTTTTTGGTATCCCCATTTACAAAGCATTTGCACACATACTGAGCCATAAAAATATTTACATGTAAAAAATGTAATATATGCAACATAATCACATCAATGGACACACTCCACACAAACTAGGAGAGATGACGGAGAGACCTAATGAAATCTGAGAAAGGCTGGGAGAGAACAATGGTTCAGTGAGGGAAGGAGTACCTCACTCAGGGTAGTCTCCCCTTCCTGGGTTCTATCCGACAGAACTGGTGGTGATGATCTTGGTGATATTCTCCCCAGTGCACAGAGCTGCATTCAGAGTTAGACAACCTCAGTGACGAGTACCTCTCCTGCCTGCATAAGCTACAGCACTGTCGAGAAGAGCTGAAACACAGCCTGCAACTGCCTCCAAGAGTAAGAGGGTCCATCTTCCTGTACAGCACTAGATGCTGGTGGGACAATTCCTCTTTTAGCCAAACCTTAAAGATAAAATTTATCAGCCCACACCAACATCTGACCATCCTGTCCCATTCCACTTGGTTTATACTATGCTGACATGAAACCATGCAACCATGAAGGAAACACTAGTTGATGCATCCAAGCCTAGAACTCTTTTGCCCAGAGAGAAAGACTTACTACACACTGAACATCCCTAATCTGAAATTTTTTAATGTGAAATGCTCTGAATCTGAAATTTTTGAACACTAGCATGAATTCTGGAACAGCTGGGCATGGTGCCCCATGCTTATAATTCCAGTATGCAGGAGGCTGAGGCAGGAGGATCACTGAGTCAAGGACAGCCTGGGCTACACAGCGAGACCCTGTCTCAAAACAAAAAAAGTTCTGAAGCATTTCTGATTTCATAGTATATGTAATTACAAAACTGAGAAACTCCACAATCTGAAACACTCCTGGTCCCAAGCAGTCCAGATAAATACTCAATCTGTACTAGCTCAAGTATGAAAGAGTATTCTTTGTGAACAGGACAAGCACAGAAGAGAAAAGCACTGAGGCACATGGCCACAAAATATAATTGTGCTTGGTTCTTTTCTACCCTTCATTACTCCCTTCAACATTTAAATGCCTGGTCCCTATTTATGCTCCCTGGGCTAGCAACCACTAGTAAAGTGGCTGTATCTCAAGGGAGGTGACAGAAACCAGGACACACAAGTAAAAAACAGTTTCTCTGCCACGAACTGAAGCTTTCCACTGGGCTAGAATAGGATTATTTTTGCCCATTTTTTCCTCCAACTCATGGCTGCCTTCTCCGGTCCCCTTCTCCTTTCACACAGAGGCACTGTGGCCGATGGCTCCCGATGCTGATGGTAGTGATTGCTACAGCACTGGCAGTACTCCTGGCCAACAAGGACAGCTTGATGATCTGAAAAACTTGTAACGGCTGCCTGGGATAAAAAAAACCTCAGGTTTGGGTACTTCATGGCTTGGGTTCTCTCTCCAACTAAACTGAGATTTCTGACTTTTATTATTTTTTAAGGTATTGTAAATAAATTTCACCTCACATAACTATACCTTGGAAGTCTTGATTTATTCCTGAATAACATTATCATCTCCCAAGTGCTACACTTAAGCTGATCCGCTCTCAGTCCAATTCAGTTAGAAATACATATATAAACATGCACAAACACACCAGCCTGCTCCCCTCCTAGAAAACACCATCATCACAGGGCAAGACAGAAGGGCTACTTGTCCTTCACAACTCACTTTTCCCCACTTGTCACTTCCTTTCTATCTCTTAATGAAAAATTAAGGACCAGGGATATAGCTCAGCAGCACAGCACCTGCCTGGCAAGCACAAGGTGCTGAGTGCAATTCCCGGTACAAAAAAAAACAAAACAAAAACAAAAACAGGCATCTCTGCTCATAGAAAACTCCCTAATATAGAAATGCCAAATATGTACTACCACTGCTACCACCACTACTACCAATTCCCATTCTCATGTTTTGCAGATAGATTACAGCATTTTTTCCTAGTGCTCTCCAAACACTTAGAATTGGTACTTTAAATGATTACTAGTTGACATCCTCAACACAGAGATGATCACTTATAGGATGCCTTTTATATAGGAGGACAGCTAAAGTCAGAGGGCCACAGCTGGCACTGTGACTATTTCAGAGGTGATACAGAGGTCAGCAAAGTCATCCTGAGTCCTGAATCGGGTTCTGAGGTCCTTCTCCCAGGCATTTAGAATGTGCCTCAAGTTTGGGAACAAGTTCTCTGGGACACTAAAAGAATACAGCAAGACTGGGGGCTGACCTGGAAGCCACGAGGTGTGGGCAGTGAACACCCGTAGTGGGGTCAGGGCCAAGCAGTTGTCACTCCCCTGGTTCAGGTGAAAAGTGTATGAGACAGGATAGCCTAGAAGAAGCCCAAATACAGTACACAGATTCCAGTCTGAGGAATGTAGCCTGCTAGGACAGACTCCTAGAGATAGGTCTCTCTGCAGCTCCTGCAAATGCATGGTGATCTCAGCTACAAAAACCTTCAAGTCCTGAAGCTGGTCCAGGGAACAGAGGGAAGGGTATGGTTGGGAGCTAGAAACATCCACCAATGCTACAGTACCATGCAGCACCTGCTGCAAGTGCTGACATGCATGCTTAGGACTGACAATAAGGCAGTCTTCTCCAATCTCAAGAATGTGAAGTCCTGGGCTGAGGAGACCCAGCCTCTGCAGCTCCTCCAGATAACTTTGGAGAGCCAATGCTCCTGCACAGTTGTAATCATAGAGCACCGCTGGCTTCAGCCCTCGGGCCACAGCTAGCACCTCTCCAGCTAAGTGAAGGCAGATGGCTCTAGATGGACCTTTTCTCTTTCCCATGCCCAGGGTCTGTTGAGCAGCTGCCACCAGCAGCTGAGGGCTTGGTGTTGACATGAGATCTGGAAGCAACTTCAGGCATGGCCTCCTTAGCTAGCCACAGTTCCTTTCCCTGGTCGCATCTCAGCTCCAGACATTTGAGCCTAGAAACAAGGTGGGTAGTAGGGAATTAACACCAGCCAGTGACACACCAGGAAACCTACCAACAACCTTCCCATTAGTTCTTATATTTCCCGTAGGTTATTTTGTCCATCCAATATGGAAGGCTGATGCAGGCCAGACGAGATGGGTCCACCAACACTGCCCAATTTCTCCGGTCCCAAATTCGTGTCTTTCTGGCCTTACAGGCAGATTTATATAATGTTTGGCTTCCTTCTAAGTTTTACAAATTGCAAATTATGTTCTCTGATTCAAACCTTAAAAAGTGTAGAACAAAGAAAATGGCTGAGCAATCTAGCAAAATTCACCGCATTTCACCCAAAATGGCCCTTCTGGGACAGATCTCTGAATGCCAAATAAATTCTTTCCACTGCCAAGTTCTCCTTCTCTTCCCTTGAAGAACACTTGTAAAGCAACCTGATTAAACTAACATACACTAGAGGGCGGGCTAGCAGCCATCTCACCCCAAGACATAAAAATAAATCAGCTAAATCGGCAGGAGGGTTGATTCACTCTGACCCCGCCTTCCCGGTGTAGCAGATACCCAAGGACTGAGGAAAAGGGGATCCCTCCACCACACACACCTCACATTTAAGATGACAGTGACTTGTTACATGAGGCAGAATTCTCCCTCACTTACTCACTGTTTCCACTTCCGCTGCTGGTTCGCGGGCTCCGGAACTCCTTCCGGTTTCTTGCCTGCTGCAGGGGAAAGCGCTAGACCCCAGTACCGAGCCACAGCGCTGGAAACCCCGCGCGCCGGATTCTAGCAGCGGACACGGCCGCAGGTGCGTGAAAATAGCCTGTTGCGCATGCGCACCCACTCGGACTCCGCACTCCGCTCCCGGTTAGGTGACGTCACCCAATGGGTCCGCTTGCCTCGCGTTAGAACACAGGCAGGGCCGTCCGGTGACGTACCGGAAGTGTGGTCTTCCTGCGGCCCTCCCCTTCCGCCCAGATAGAAGCGGCCCCGCCCGTTTGGCCAGGGACAGGGAGGGCAGGAAGTGGAGGGAAACAGGAGTAGCTGGTGACAGTCCTGTGCTGGGCGTGTGACGAAGTCTAGTAGCCCACTTGCCTGGGAAGCTAGAAAAAGGGCACGCAGCACTAATAAACACCCTTGACTTGTTTCTGGAGAAACATGCCTTTCCAGAAACGTATCTCGAGACAACTGACATGTTTTGCAGAATATCCCCGCCTGTGGGGATACTGTACAGCTTTTTTTTTTTAACTTTGACATTCTTAAATCCTAAAGGCTGTATCCTTGCCAAGGAGAAAGCTCTACACAGAGTGCAAAGTCTTGAGTATTCATTCTAAATTAGTATGTGCTGGGCGTAGTTTGAGGGTCTGGAGGTATTTGCAAAAGAGACAGAAGCCCACCTTCACAGACCTGTAAGCTTTAGGAGTACAGTTTGCTGATTTCAAACGAGAAGCGAAGATCCAGAGATTTTTCAGTAAGCTTATTAGGAAGAAAAAGAGTTGACTTAGGGGTTGACACCTTTTCAGCTCCACCTTTGACCCATGAAAGAATTTTCTTGAGAAAACGCCAGTGTCTGAGAAATGCCTACACGTGTGGGCAGCAGGTTGGAGACTAAAGGAACCATGGGCAACCACGGTTTCACTCCTGCTTCTAGGTCTGTGGTATCTGCAAACTGCAACTTGTTGACTGTGGGAAAAGACAGGACACGCATAGAAGGAATTACAGCTTGTACGAGCTGTCAGTCCAATGGCTCTTAGCTCAGAGGCAGTCAGAGAAAGAGAGCAGAAAGTAATACAACTAGTCCTCTTATTTTTAGAAATTTTTCCTTCCCAAATTTATTTATTTTCTCGTGGTGGTTAGCAATAAATCCTCCAAATGGAAGACTCATGTAGTTCGTTGATTTATTACAGCAACAACTTTTTGAGGACACACTGTGTATCAGACAGTGATGTAAGCACTACATACTCAGTGTTTCTGAGAAACAGGCAGCAAAGACCAAGACAACCTTCACATTCAGCAAGTTTGTAGTCCAGACACAAGATGCTGAACGATTACAGAGACATGGTTATTCTGAAACATAGATTATGGTGCCGTGTAACATAACCAGGGACCTAATTACATGGGGAAGAGACTCACCTAGATCCAAATCCCCCCCTCCCAGTTTATCCTCCCATTTTACCTATAGGGGGTTCTTTAATCTACCGGTGGTAGAGGCACAGTGAGGAAAAGGAAGAACTGATGACAGTCTAAAACCCTTTGCAGTCTTAAGCAAAATGAAAGCAAGGGAGAAGACATATAATCTTCTTGTCTTGCTAACAAATGAGTTATCAAACAGAGTCCCTAAGGAAAGAAGGACACCTGATATCTATCGAACCCAGAGAAAGTTACTGGAAAAGATCAGAGGGGATCCTGTCATGCACTCTCCCATCACTGAGAAAGTCAAAGCAAGGAAGAAACTGAGCTATCTGGTTAAAACCACATAAACCATTCATCCATGAACTTTTCATTGCATGTGGGAAAGTTCTGTTCTCGCTCAGAATACTATTTTCATCATTCTTTCTTTACTTACATTATCTGGCCTCCAGATGGACAGCCTGAGAATGGAACCAGCCTGTATTCAACAGTTGCCTTCCTAAATTACCTATGATAAGTTACTTTCAACTTTGAGCTCCCAGATACCAAACATAAATACCACTTCACCCATTCAACCAAATGAGCAAAAAAGTTTCAATGCTTTGCATGATTTTTGGGCTCTAAAATCCCAACATTTAGCCGGATGTCACATGTCTGTAATCCCAGCACTAAGGAGGATTGGCACAAGTTCAAGGCCAGCCCGGGCGACACAGTGAGCTCAAAGCCAGCCTGAACTACAAAGCGAGACCCTGTCTCAAGAATAAA